CCTCTCCACTTGCCTCGCTGCCTCCGCTGCTGTTATCGCTTAAATCAAGTTCTATTGTTGTTTCCACTTTGTTTTCCGACAGCTTGTCTACGCACTTAACACCTTGCTCATGACCGCCTATCCCCAGCATCACTGTCGCGATCATTATCAGCGCCCCAGTCATCAACGTGGCTAAAAAGCTCCTTTGCCATCATCACGACAGTCATAATCGGTCACTGAAGTTTCTATCGAACTATAATCATCAGTGAAATCACCCTCCTCACCCACTCTCATGATCGCCCCCCCTACCCCCCACCCCGCCCCATCCACCCCCCGGCGGAAGTAGGGTGTGCGTCGGACCTTTTAGTGTGGCCAAAACCACACATTCCTGCAGCTGTTAAGTTGCTATTATCGGAATTCCTTTGCAGTTCTTTAACACCTATGACTCTGATACGGTATAAAATAAGCTTTATAGGCGATGGTGATAACAACGATTAGAATAAATGATAAAAGATAAAGCTGTTGATAATGACAGTGATAGTAAAAACAATAACCAGAGAAACAGTAGTCATCATAACTGAACATTTAAACAACATTAATAAGAATCACAAAAATAACAATAAACAAACAAACAACAACAACAAAAGAACAACGCTAGCAAGAAAAAAACAAACAAAAAAGGATAAGACAGACCAACAACAACCACATGAAACCCAAACTACCGATTCAAACGCCCTGTTGTTTTCTCGCGACGTGATCTACGCACATTCCGAAGTTAAATTACGGCTATTTAAGTGGGTGGTGGTTGCGGTGGGGGTGTGGGCGTGGGGGGGGGGGAGAGGGGAAGGGGAGAGGAAGGGGAAGGGAAAGGGGAAAGGGAGGGGAAGGGGAAGGGGAAGGGACTCGGAAGGGTTACTCCTTTCTCTCCAACACCCTGCTGTGATTTCGTCTTATAGGCCTATACTCATCCCTGTCAGCTCTTACTTTTACTTTTTCTAGTCCCTTTAAGCTCTTACTCTTATTTATCCTCGTCCCTGTCAGCTCTTACTTTTACTTTTTCTAGTCCCTTTAAGCTCTTACTCTTATTTATCCTCGTCCCTGTCAGCTCTTACTTTTACTTTTTCTAGTCCCTTTAAGCTCTTACTCTTATTTATCCTCGTCCCTGTCAGCTCTTACTTTTACTTTTTCTAGTCCCTTTAAGCTCTTACTCTTATTTATCCTCGTCCCTGTCAGCTCTTACTTTTACTTTTTCTAGTCCCTTTAAGCTCTTACTCTTATTTATCCTCGTCCCTGTCAGCTCTTACTTTTACTTTTTCTAGTCCCTTTAAGCTCTTACTCTTATTTATCCTCGTCCCTGTCAGCTCTTACTCTCACCTTTTCTCGTCCCTTTAGGCTCTTACTCTTTCCTTTTCTCGTCCCTGTCAGCTCTTACTCTCACCTTTTCTCATCCCTTTAGGCTCTTACTCTTACTCTTTCTCGTCCCTGTCAACTCTTACTCTCACCTTTTCTCGTCCTTTTAAGCTCTTACTCTTATTTATCCTCTTCCCTGTCAACTCTTACTCTTACTCTTACTGACTTACAAATTCATAGGTTTGTTTATGTGTCTGGTTACTTATCTACAGTTCTATATATCTATCTGTATATATCTATAAATCTGTCTGCCTTTACTTTTCTCCACTCGTATGCTTGCCTTTCTATCAGGACGACGAGAATGTTAAAACTACTGCTAATTAAAAACAGCAATAACACTAATAATGATGATGATTATATTTAACAGTCATAATAATTACACTAAAATGACCGAAATGGTGATGACGAAAATAATAATAGTAGTAACAGTAACATCAATAAGATAATAATAATGATAAATAAATAAATAAAAAGTGAACAATAAGAATAAACACAATAGTGACGGAGACAACACAATAAATCAAAAGGTTTAGGAAACAAAAATAATGAGGAAAAAAAAAAGACTTGAATACTTGAAGTTGGCGAAACAATGAGGGAAAGAATGACGTCACTAAAGCATAGATAAAAGAGACAGAAAACAATATTATAGAAAGAGGACAGTAAAAGAAAAAAAAATATGAAGAAAAGAGGGAACGAGATAGAAGATAAAATCATGTAAGAACTGATGAAAATGTTGAATAATTCATTAAGCACTGAAATCTCTTCAACAATCCTTCAACAACCGCATGAGAGACAACTGAAGAGGATGATGAGGAAAAATGGTGATGGAGGAGGAGGAGGAGGAGGAGGAGGAGGAGGAGGAGGAAGAGGAGGAGGAGGAGGAAGAGGGGGAGGAGACGGAGGAGGGGGAGGAGACAGAGGAGGGGGAGGAGACGGAGGAGGGGGATGTGAGGAGGAGGAGGAGGAGGAGGAGGAGGAGGAGGAGGAGGAGGAGGAGAAGGAGAAGGAGGAGGAGGAGGAGAAGGAGGAGGAAGGAGGAGGAGGAGGAGGAGGAGGAGGAGTGGAGGAGGAGGAGGAGGAGGAGGAGGAGGAGGAGGAGAAGGAGGAGGGGGAGGAGGAGGAGGAATACGAGGGAGGAAGAGAAGAAAGAGAAGAAGGAGAAGGAAGAAGGAATAAGAGGAGGAGGAGGAGGAGGGATAAGGAGGCGGGAAGGTGTTGAAGGAGGCTGTAAAATCACCCTAGACGTCACTCTAATCCGAGAGTGACTGAAGGAGAGGGGGGGGAGGGGCAAAAGGGAGAGAAAGAGAGGGGGGGGGGGAGATGGAGGGGCAGAAGGAGAAGTGATTGGAGGGAGAGGGAGGCGGGGTGAGGGGAGGGCGAGGGGGGGGGGAGAGAGAGAGAGCGACGGGAGGGGGAGAGGGAAGGGGGGAGGGGGGAGAGAGATTTCAGAAGGGCGCTTGACTCCTCGTTTGTCCTTGTTTGTTTGCGTTTTTTTTGTGTGTGGGGGGGAGGGGGGGCGTGTGTGTCGTTACTTGTTTATTTGTAAGCGGTTCTGCATGCATTTAACTTCTCTTCAAATATAATGGAGTTTTTTTTCTCTAACTTTACGTCGTTTTCAAATTTTAAGGATGAATAAAATTTGCTAAAACGCATTTTGTCCTTACGAAAACATATACAGGAGATCCATACCTAGACACCAATGACAAGCGCGAGTGACTGTATGTATGTGTGAGTTTATTTATTTACTCATATTAACAATTACCTGTAATATGAAGACAAGTGCAGTCTGTTTTCCTTATTCATTTACTCACATTTACAATTAACTGTAATATAAAAACAAATGCAGTCTGTTTTCGTTATTTATTTACTCATATTTATAATTAACTGTAACATAAAGACAAGTGCAGTCTGTTTTCCTTATTTATTTACTCATATTTAAATCAACTGTAATATAAAGACAAGTGCAGTCTGTTTTCCTTATTTATTTACTCATATTTAAATCAACTGTAATATAAAGACAAGCGCAGTCTCCTTTCCCTATTTATTTACTCATATTTACAATTAACTGTAACATAAAGACAAGTGCCGCGTGTTTTCCAAGGCAGCCGAAGCACATTATCACAACGATCACCTTTTCCTTCTCTCCCTTGGGGGGAAATTTCGCACAACACCAGATCCTCAGGCGACATTCACTGTAAATGTGAAATAACCCCAAAGGCAAAATAAAAAAAGAAAGAAGAAGAAGGAGAAGGAGAGGGAGAAGAAGGGGAAGAAGAAGAAGAAGAAGAGGAAGAGGAAGAAGAAGAAGAAGAAGAAGAAGAAGAAAAAAAAGAAAAAAAAGAAAAAAGGAGACAAAAGCTCAAATACCAAAGCCTCCTCCCCCACCCCCCTCCTCCCCCCACACACACTTCTATAATTACGCTCGACCTCAGACCGTAAATTATCACGAAGCAGTTAAGATGTCATTAAATTCATTACAACACCAAAATCCCATACATAAAAAACACCGCCTAAGAAACTCACTGCCAGGCGACTCCGGATAACTGTCTTCGTGAAGGTAAAGTTCTCCCTGCAAGGCTGGTCGCTGGCGCCGGAGCTTGCAAGGTTGCCAACTAACCCTTGCCGTTTAAAGATGCGAATTTTAGGGCTTCGTCAATCAATCGAATTGCGTTCATTGATATCACCAGAAAGCAAAGGTTCTTACTTTTAAATTCATATATATATTTTTTCTTTTAACTCACTGTGGATAGTTATACCGAGCCTCAATTTCGTTCTTATACAGATAACAATTACGTGAAAATTACATAGACAGAGTTGTTTAAGGCCCAATCAAGGAGGTAAATGTCAAAATACTGATTACGAACATTAACGAAATGGCGTTGATGAAGTACAATAACCAGCTATCAGACGCAATTTAATCAAATTAACTCAAACAACGATCCGTCATTAAGATTCCTAATGATGATGGTACTCCGTATTTTTTTTTTTTGTGTGTGTGTGTGTTTCTTAGATGATGAAGATTCCAAGTGATCGAAATTAATCCTCACTATGATATTACGCAATTAATCCTCACCAGAACATTACGCAAATTAATCCTCACCAGAATATTATATAATCAATGACAATCTCTAGGCCTATATTCAGCATCGCAATCACCAGTCCCTGACGTCACAGAGCAAATGAAAGCTCCTCCGCCTCGAAGGCCAAGGAGAGGAAAAATCTCTGGTGGGAAAAAGACCGTCACACATGTCTAATATGTTTTAAAAAGAAAGATTGATAAAAAAAATAAAATAAAGAAGACAACGACGGCGATGAATGGGGGGGAGGAGGAGGAGGAGGAGGAGGAGGAGGAGGAGGTGGAGGAGGAGGTGGAGGAGGAGGTGGAGGAGGAGGTGGAGGAGGAGGAGGAGGAGGAGGAGGAGGAGGAGGAGGAGGAGGAGGAAGAGGAGGAGGAGGAGAAAGAGGAAGAAGAAGAGGAGGAGAAAAAGGAGGAGGAGGAGGAGGAGGAGGAGGAGGAGGAGGAGGAGGAGGAGGAGGAGAAATAGAAAGAAGAAGAGGAGGAGAAAAAGGAGGAGGAGGAGGAGGAGGAGGAGGAGGAGGAGGAGGAGGAG